CAACTGTGGCATTTAGCTTGGAAAATCCCAACAACCTGTCCCTACATTAGCTGCGGAGCCAAGGCTGCCGGCAGCTTGAGGCGACGCAATTCCTATCCTCTGGGGACTGACACAGAAGGAGGCTCACAGCGTGGACTCACCCGTGCCTTAGAATTGCTTCATTTTTCTCAATGTTCAACAAAAGTCTTGAGACGTTGTGTTCCCGCTCCTGTCAGCCCAGTGAGGCAGCCCGGCCCCGGAGCCCAGCCATCCCAGTGCTGCCCCGGGGAAAAGAAACACCCAGAAAGTCAGGAGGAGACTGGAGCATCCCAGGAAGCCCAGAGAAAATGGCAAACCCCAACAGGCACACCCCAAAGCAAGCCCCTGGGAGTAAAAAACATACTGTGCTGAAACACACTAATGCAAAAACATGCTAACAAAGACCCAGGAGTCTCTGCCTGGGGCTTTCCCTTGTCTCCTTGCCCTTGCTGCCCTAGAAGATTCAGGAAGGGACAGAGATGCCCTCTTAGTCCTGATGTCCTTGCTCCATCTGCAGCCCTGTTCCCACCTGCCCCATCAGGGTTGTTCTATGAGGCCTCTCCCCATCACGGTCCCAGTTTGGGAAGAGGGGATGTTGGCCCTGAGTGTGTCCTGGGCCAGAGCCCTCCTCCAGACCCAAAGGAGATGAAGGAAAATGTAAAATTAGGTAGCGTTTCCTGTAGTGCCTCATTCAGCAGCAACATCCAAAATAAACACCAGGGATGTTCAAACAGGCTGAAAGCTCCATCAGCATTTCAGACATGGAGACCTGGAGGTGCTGCTGTAGTACCTGAGGAGCATCGCACCCCAGCGTGCAGGGCCATCCTGTCCCCATGATGGCCTGGTGGCTGCCCAGGCCTCAGGGCTGTTGTTGGTGGCCACGTCTGAGCCCCCTGGCCCAGTGCTCTTGCCCTCGGGGGGTATAGGGCTATTCTCCAGAAAAGCTTGCTTGAAAACATCCTTGGGAGGCACATGGCCTGCTGAGTCCTGCCACCGAGGTGGGACCAGACGCTCCCCTGCCTCTGCGTGTGCTCATTCATCCCACAGACAAAACTAATATCCCCCCCAAAACTGCTGTCACCAGACCCTTAGAGAGGTACTGTAAAACCTGTAAAAAAAAAAACCCATAAACTGTAAAAAGCTCCTGCTGTGTCATCTCAAACCCTCAGTGGCAAACACCAGTGCACTTCTTGTTCCTGGGGACTGGTAGCTGCTGGTTGCACTGGTTAGCTCCTCCATCCTTGTGCCCCCTCCACCCTTATACCTGCTCTGCTCCCCTGGCCCTGCCCCAGGAGGATGCTGAGGAGAGAGCAGCAATATTTTGGAGCTTGTTGAGGCTTTGGGACGGTGCACTGATTGTGGAGAACTACTGGCTGCTCCAGCATCTCCATCACATACACACACACACAGCCTTCTGATGTCTCTATTTTCAAAGGGACAAATGGCCCCCGTGAGGCATCAGCTGGAAATCCTCACAGTACAGTTATCCATCACTCTGTCGGGAAATGCTCCCTGGCCCGTGGCAGCAGAAGAGACATAAATCTGGGCAACGATTTCCCCAAATCAATACAGAAACATGCTCCCTAATGAAGAGCAAGTGGAAGAAAAAGAGGATGGATAGCTGGTTGTTCACTGCTGCAGTGGCACAGCCTTCTTTGGGCCAGAGTCCATGTTTCTGTCCTGTAAACCTCCTCGAGGTTATCCTCTGGAAGGTGCCTGAAGCCTGCCTCCTGACTCCAGCTGAGAGAGCCAGGGCCCCAGCGCTGCCCAGAAGGACCCAGCCTCATCCAAAGGCATCACTCACCCCTTCCTTGTGATGGGGCCGAAACACCCCATGCTGTTGTCACACGTACCCCCATGACCCATCTCCTCCCACCCTCCAAATCATGCTGGCACCAGTCACACTTCGATGAATCCCTCTCCATCCTCAGGCACAGGGACCCGTGTGCTCTCTCGCACACGCACACGCTCCGCTCCCTTCCCCACTCGCTACACACCGACAGTCCCCCCGAGACCCCCGTCTCAGGCATCACCCCCACTTTGGTAAGACTTGGCCATATCTCCCTGTTTTTAGCCCCACAGCAGCTATGTTCTCTGCTTTTGGGCATTTTCCAGCACATGCAGCTTCCCACCCCACTCCAGGAGCAGGGCTTTCCAGGGGGCAGGATACGTCCTGGCTTTGGGTGATGCCCAGCAGGACCCAAAGGGGTGAGAGGCTCAAATCCGGGCTGGATGGAGCAGCACCACTGCCACCACAGGGACATCTCTGAATGGCCCTGAGTCTGCTGTCACAGAGGAAACAGTATGTGACACAGAGCAGTCAAAAACAGATTTTCATGATTCTGTGATTCTTAGATCACCCTGAGCCACCCCCTCGCCAAACGCACTGCAGCCCATCTCCCCATAACCCATGGTTGAACATTGGTGTTCCTCAGGGCAGCCCAGCCCTGGAGCCGCTCTCTCCCCCCAGCAATGGGGAGGGGTGTCTCACCCTCCATCTCACCCCGGGGGTCTCATTATGCAATGTCCTCTTTGCTCTCCAATCCCTGAGGGAAGCTCCGCAGCTCTCTGCCCCACACTCTCAGCTTCCACAGATGCCCCGAGTCTGCCAGTTCTCAGCCTGTGTGAGCATCATGCAAGGGTGGGAAAACAAAGGCACATCCCTTCAAGGGTTAAAAGCTTTCAGGCCCCCACCCCACGAAGAAAAAAGGTTTCATGCTCTTAACCCCTTCCCGTCCACCTCTTCTCCCCCCTCTGAGCTTTTGCCACCCCGATGGATCTGATCTGGTTTGAGTTAAGGGAAAGGCTTTGTGTGCGCCCAGCTCTGGCTCCAGCGACTTTCAGCTGAAAAGGCAGGGTAATTTGAATAACAAGACTAATTGGATTTATAAAGCACAGCCCCCTCCCTTCTCCCCCCCCTTCCCCCCCCCCCCCCGCTCCCCCCTCTTCCCCCCCCCCCAAACCCCAGGCTCTGCACAGTGTGACAAAGAAAACACGCTAATGAAAACCACGCTGGTGAAAGCCCAGGGTGAGGGACGAGCCTCCTGTGGGCAGGCGCTGGCTGAGACCTGACCGCATTGTGGCATTTGTGGCAAGGCTCTCATCCTCCGGGGCGAGGGGCTGGTGGAGAAGCTCCGATACAGCTCCTGACCCCACGTCCCACAGCGTGCAGGGGCGCAGGTGACAAGCAAGGCAACCTCCCTCCCCACGCTGGGACAGTTCCCACCAGCCGACCACCCCACCTCCTTCCCCATCCCTGGAACCCCCCCGAGAAGCTGCAGGGCAGCGCTGCCCCCAGCATCCGCCAGTGCAACTGGGACGGTCGGTGATGGCAGGACCCCATGGCAGCTGCCATGGGGCTGGTGACCTCATGCACCCCAACAGCCCCAGGTTGCAGAGCCCTAGGGCTCAGCTCCCCCACTACTCTCCCCTTGCCCCTGCACAAGCTCTGCTGAAGGGGTTAGTGCTGCAGAGCCCCCCCGCTACCCCCACCACCTTGCACCCTGGAGAGGCTGGATGTCACATCTCAGCACGCTTTCTGGGGGGACAGGAGCTGAACCCCAAGAGAAAGAGCCTCTCTCTGCTCCTTGCCTCACCCACAGCTCCCTGGCACCCGAGGTGGGCTCTAATCCCGACTCCATCGCCTCTCTCTGCCTGCACGCAGACAAATGCCCAAGCACAACTTTACACTCCAAAAAGTCCAAGTTGTCTCCACCTGGCAGGCACGATGGAAAAACCACCGAGACCTTCTCCTTCCAGCTCCCGTTCACATGGAGCTGAAAAGCCAATCTCCTTTGAAGTGTCCCGTGCCCAGTAGCCCGGGCTGTGGAGGAGGAAACATCTCCCTGCTCCCAAGTAGGGAAACCATGGACCCCCAAAGAGTCATGGCCCCCCAGCAGGGGCGGCTCCCCAGGAATTTGGGGAGCAGCAGAACCCAGAAAGACCAAAGGAGCTGATGCCAGGAAGAGCAGGAAGAGCAGAGAGCATTTCCCTGGTTCCAGGGAAGGGATTTGGGGTGCAAAACCAACCTGGCACAACCCATCCCTGCATGCTTCTGCAAAGGGGGAGGGGGGAGGGGGTCTTTCTTTTGGCCTGATCCCAGTAAAAGCATCCCCCCGAGGTGGGGTGCCAGGGATGGGGCACCAGAGCAACCAAAGCCCTGGAGCTGGCTGGTGCCAGGCACACCAGCAGCAGCGGCACAAATCCTGTCCTCCCAGCTGCTGAAGGGGAAGGTGAAGGGCAGGGGGGAGCACCCACTGGGTCCCCAAAGCCCCTGCGAGCTACTGGGGTTAATCCTGGGATCACATCCCTCTCCCGCATCCTCCAGCTTCTGGAGAAGGTGGGAGGAGGTCAGGCTGCACTGTGGGTCAGCCCTTGGGGTCCTGTCCCCAGCAGGGACCCTGTGACACTGACTGCACCTGGCAGAGGACATCCCCAGGGTGTGTGAGGAGCCCCATCACCAGGGCCAGGGACACCATCCAGCTCCCCTAGGGGAGCACAGGGTGCAGGTCCCCCCCTCCATGCCAAGGGACCCACCTGGGTGCCCTCAAGCAACACCACAGCCCCCCGCATCCCCAGCGTCCCTGACAGGGAGGGCAGTGTCCCCCCTCCTGCCAAGCGGGGACCTGGGAGAGAAGTTGGGGGACAGACAGGTTCTGATTTAATCCTGGGTGTGAAAATAAAGTGCTTTTTGCACTTATTCCTGTCTTTTGGACTTAGCCCCCCACCGGGACCCCCCCTGCAGCCTGTGACACCCACCCCCCCCCAGGCTCTCCCGTGTTCTTCTGCAGGGGGTCACCAGGGGGGTGGGGGTGAGCAGAGGGACCCCCCACCACCACCACCACCACCACCACCCCCCTCTTTAAATTCCTGCTATTGTGGAGTGGGAGGCCGGGTTGGACCTGGTTGTTTAGATGACATCACCGAGCAGGTTGGGTTATAAAATGAATGAAGCAGAAAGCCCAAGTTCACACTAGCTCGGCACTTCGCAGGCGGCAGGAGGGACCTCGGGGCTACGCTCTGAACTTTGACTCCTGCCGGTCCCAGCCATCATCCCCCACCAACCAACCCCGGGGCTCCCCTTGGCTCCCCGCTGCGGGTCTCCCCCTCCCCACCCCCCTCGGCCCCCCTCTCGCTCGGCCTCGCAGGATGCAGATCTCACCCTTGCTGGCTGGTGGACTTTTACTCGCTCTGCTCTCCGTCAGGCTGGAGGCGAAGCCGGCGTCTCAGCTCCCACAGAAGGTAGGGCTGGAGCTGCCCCCTCTCCTCTCCCTCTTCGCCCCATCCCGTCGGGTTTGGGGTTCCCTAAGGGCACAGGGATTGGGGAGTCGTGAGGTGACTTTGGGATGGGCAGAGTCAGCACAAAGCGGGGTCCCCCTTCCCCATGGGATTTTTGGGTGCTGGGGGAACCCTTGTTTCTCCAGCTTCTGGCAGGCGTGCGTGTCCCGGGGACAATCAGCCCCAAATCAGGGGCTGGAGGGGGATGCTGTGTATCCGTACCCTGTGGGATTGGGGCTGGGGAGGGTGGCAGCCGGCTCCCTGGTGTCACCCCCTCTGTGCCGGGCAGTGGGGAAGGGGAGCAGAGCCAGAACAGGGCAGGCAGCAGGTGTAAGGTGTCAGGGTGCGAGGCCAGAGCCCTCCAGGGGACCCTCACCAAATTGGGGGGTCATTTGGGGCACCGCAGGGAGCTGGGTGTCCTGGGATGCTGAGGAGGAGGGATGCACTGGTGGCCACTGACACTGGGTGGCACTGCCCCAGTGACCCAGGCACAGAGACTGGGACACGGACTGAGGGGTGTCCCGGGACAGCGGTGGGACAGGGCTGGTGGTGTCCCTGTAAGGATCTGGGGTAACAGGCTGCAGAGAAAGGGGTGATAGGGGGGGGTGGGGGGGGGTCGGGGAGATGAACGGGAGTGAGCAACCCCCAGGACTTAGTGGGCAGCAGCCCCGAGCAAGGAGAGAGATGGGGAAGGGGATGGGAGACAGGGAGGGCAGGTAAGGAAGGGGGTGTGACCCCCTTTTAACTGCGGGGGGGGTCAGAACTGGAGGAGTGGGGGGACCCAGGGAGCATTACCTGGGGTGTGGGGGGTGTGGGGGGGAAGCAGCAGGAAAAGAGGAGCCCAAATCTCTGTGC